CACATTTTTACGTTGAAATATGCCAACACTTTGAACACGTACACAGTCCAGCCTCTGAAAGTGGCACATTGGACAACCGCGAGGGTGGCCTCAAGTGAACGCCCTCCCAACAGACAAACTGACACAAATTCTTTCTGCTTAAGACCTTTGTTCCTGTTCTGCTCCCCTTTTCGCATGCAAACCAGATTTAAGTGGATTAGACAGTATGCAGAAAAGGAAGAAGCTGTTGCATTCGCATGCAAGATGGGTCACTTTTTGCAAGAACTTTGCATTCAGAATTATGCATATTCTTAATGCTTCCTTTTATTGCTTTTTCTTTTGGGCAAGCATTTTGTTCTGAACATTTGCACTTGTGCCCTCCCTGCCGGTCGATCGGTCAAACTGAGTTGCCAACCGGAAGCAACTTGTGGGACCTGAGCACTTGCTGCGTCAGAAGTTACTTGACACATCTTGTGATCAATTTGCTGGTTACACAGGCTGAGACAAGAGGTGATGCTCTGATCGCTAGCCTGACAAACGCTTTCATGCCAAAATGAAAGCGCACATTTGAAGTGAGTTGCCAAAACGCTTTCTGTTGAGCAATGTCGCCTCAGTCGGAATGTCATCAACGTCTCCCTGCAGGTGAAACAGGAAGCACGTTCAGCACAGAAGAATGAAGCAAATTGAACGTCTGTCTTACTAGTAGTAACAGGTGCCTTACTAGTAGCAACAAGAAGCTAGTAGTAACAAGTGCCACGCTAGTAGTAACAGGTGCCTTACTAGTAGAGGCATCTGTTCCAAACAGCCAGCCCACAGTGCCCACATTGCCGCCATGCCCTGGCCGTCGCCCGCCTGTGGCAAGCCTGGGGCCTGCAAATAAGAGCGATGGCCTCTAACCTAGTAGAGATGGCCTCCAACCTAGAATCTCAAATGACAATAGGAAAAGGACACCGGACCTGAAAATCGAGGTCGTGAGTGACCTTGGCAGAACTAAAAATCATGGAATGAAAGGACGCAACAGCCTGGAGCCCCGATAGCTCTAAAATATCAGCATGTGAAAGAAGCCAAAACGGGACGAGGATCTTGTTATCATGAAAGAGCGGCCACAGGGTTGAAACAATTGTCAAACTTCTGGCTAGCTCGTCGTTCTCGCAATTAATTAGGCACTGGCACTTAAGGAATTTCATCCAATTGGAACTGTTCTGCGTTATGGTACATTGAAATGCAAACTGCATTTTGATTCACATCTGTTCTTGAAATGAAAAGCATTGCACTTCGGATATGAGAACCGCTGCAGAAACAATGTGTTCGCATCGTCCGTTTGTTTTGTTTCAAGTCATGTTGTATTTAAAAAACGCAAACGCAAAAGAAAACATCAGTCCTTGCTCTTTTCCAACAACGGGGCTCACTTGGTGCGGTGCCAGCACACGGCGGATCTCAGCAGCCTCAAAGCAGGATCAACAACTTGTCACAACAATGTGTTTGGAAGAAGAACCTTGCGGCTGCACAGCTTTGCATTTTTCTACTCTATGTGATGACAAAACCACAAGAACAGTGTGAAAATGCTTGAGGAGCCTTTGTCCCCAAATGGTATTGGCCAAGACTCTGATGGCATTTTCTGCCGGAAAACATGGTGAAACTTGAAGGTTGGTCTCATGGAGGGGCTGTACCAGGTGGAAATACCGACCTGAGCAGCTTAAACTTTGTTGAGAAGTTTTGCTGTTCCTAGTAGCTACTAGTAGGTTCTTGTTACTAGTAGCTACTTGCTCCTAGTAGTACGGCCAGGAGCCCCTAGTAGCGTTCTTGCTCCTAGTAGCAATACCCTTTGCTCCTAGTAGCTGTAGCTACTTGCTCCTAGTAGTACGGCC